TAGTCAGGTACAATGTTACATTTTAATTTTTTTATTCTAGTACATATAATATTTGTTATTATTAATATGTCTTTTTTTGAAAATAAACTGTAGTTGACCAGATATGAAGTGAGCGGATGCATATGTCTTTTTCTGAAAATGCAGTTGGTAACAAATTAGTGATATAGTGCAGGTAGTAAGTTCATCCTGTGGAAGTTGATTTCGAGAGAGCTTCCGCTAGAAAACATAATCTAATTTCATTTCCAATATCTTTAATTAGTGAACATTTGATTTTGAAGTTTAAGTTGTTTTAGCTTGTGCACTCGCTTAGGTTAGAACCGAATGTGGCAGTAATGCCCTTATTTCCTTTTAAAATTTCCGCTGCACAATTCTGATGTTTTAAAATAAAGTTGCTATTATTATTATTATTATTATTTCAATTTGTTTTGGATGAGAAATTTGGGAGTGCTACAAATTGGTATCAGAGCAACTTATTGATATGTACTTATTGATAGGTAATGCATCAAACACAATAGAATTAATTCCACTTTCGATCCTACGAGTTTTGTGCCAATTCCACCTTTAGTCATCGTCTTTCACTTTATCCACTTTTGGTACTTGACTAGTGTTTTTTAACCGTTTATGGTCCTTTTCCGGCGATTTTAACCATCGAAAACAATGACGGAAGGACCATATATGGACGAAAACTCAATAGTCATGTATCAAATCTGGACAAAGTGAAAGATGTGGACTAAATGTGGAATTGACCTAAAATTCGCAGGACCAAAAGTGGAATTTATTCAACACAATAGAAAAGTAGTACTATATTAATGAAATTCTCAGAACCCCAGCACTAGTACTATGTCCGGTTTCTATCACTTATGTTTGAAACTTAACTTTTAGGGTGTTGCACTGCGGCAGTAGCGGCAGATCTGTTATCTGCGATGTACGTATATGAACACAAGGATGAGAAGAATCTAAACCTCTGCTGAGGATTTTAATGAAATTGCTGAAGAAGAACCTTCTCTGAATGAGATTGCTGAAGAAGAACCCTCTCTGAATGAGATTGCTCAAGAAGAACCTTCTCTCAATGAGATTGCTGAAGAAGAACCTTCCAGCCGCCCACCATGTGAGGTACCCAAAGAAACCACAGAACTCAGGAAGAAGCAAATGGAACCGGAGATGCACATAGAAAGCCCAGAATGGAAGTGGCAAATGATCGCCAGAATCAAATCCGAGGTACCAAAAGTAATTCTCGCACAGCGCCTCTCCAGGAGATATAGAACAGAGCAAAACTCTTCCACTGGTAGCAGCAGTGGGAGCCGGTGGAGGTGCCCGTGGAGGAAGACGAAGTAGCAGTTGCATGGATGCATGGGAGATGGAAATCCAGATATATATGATCATTGTCGTACATAGAAATCTGACTTAGAATGTTCAATTTTCACTCCTACCTAAAGTTGGAATCGCTACCAAAGTTCCTAAGATTTGTTGTTAAGGTCCACTGATTTGATTATTTTCCGGTAGACCCAAAGCTTCACATTGTCATCTTGCTCGTAGGAGACCAGTGAAATATCTGTAAATGTGTTTCACATTGGTTATTTTCTGTTTTCTTTCAAGTTCTTAATGACATTGTCCTTAAATCCATTTACTTTTATCCCCTTCAAACAATTGAACATACACCAAAAAGATTCCCACATGAGGGTACTTTAAAAAAAGTTGACCACTTGTCTATTAAGTTTAAGAAATCATTTAAGGATAAAAAAGTCGATGAAGCGGGAGTCAATGCCATTAGCCTAGAGGAGGTTTTATGTACATAAGGGACCATGACATTTGCAAGGCAAAGGAATATAGATTTGCAAGAGTCAGGAACAATGAAGATTTTATTGAAAAGAAAATGACAGAAGTTAGTCAGGTGTAATGCTACATTGTAATTTTTTATATTCTACTACATATACTCCTTCCGGTTTTTATTAAACTTCACACTTTCCTTTTTGGGACGGTCTAAAATAAACTTCACACTTCCTTATTTCCTTTTTTGGCAAAGAAATCTACATCAAAATAGTGTCAAACAGTGTCTCAACAGTGCCAAACAGTTTCTCAACAGTGCCAAACAGTGTCAAACAGTGCCTCAACAGTGTACTCTACAGTAAAGTCAAATTTCTTTCCTTATTTTATGTGAAGTCAAAGTGTGAAGTTTAATAAAAACCGGAGGGAGTAATATTTTGTTGTTATTAATATGTCTTAAAAAAACTGCAATTAACCAGATAAAAAGTGAGCAAAAGCCAACTTTTTTGGAAATGCAGTTGGCAACAAATTAGTGATGTAGTGCAGGTGGTGAGTTGATCTTGTTGAAGTTGATTTCGAGAGAGTTTCAGCTAGAAAACATAATTAGTAAATCATTGTAATTTCATTTCCAATATCTTTAATTAGTGAACATTTGATTTTGGAGTAGCTTGTGCACTCGTTTAAGTTAAAACCGAGTGTGGCGGTAAAGCCCCTATTTCTCTTTAAAATTTCCGGTGCACAATTCTGATGTTTTTAAATAAAGTTGTTATTATTTCTTTTGTATAAATCATTATTTAAAGGTGTTTTTGGGTGGAAAATTTGGAGGTGTTACAAATTAGTATCAGAGCAACTTATTGATATGTACTTATTGATAGGTAATGCAGCAAACACAGTAGAAAAGTAGTACTCCCTCCGTCCCACTAATTAACTTTGCAACTTTCCTTTTTAAGTAAAGAATTTGTGGTTCCAGTTAATTCTCTTCCCACTGCACAAAACTCAACCACACATTTTTTAATTTATTAATCCCCGTGCCAGTCAAATTTGGTAAAGTTTTGAGGGACGGAAGGAGTACTTTATTGATGAAATTCTCACAACCCCAACATTAGTATTATGTTTGGTTCCTATCACTTATGTTTGAAACTTAACTTTTAGGATTTTGTGCTACGTCAGATCTCTTATCTGCAATGTACGTATATGAACAAGGATGAGGAGAATCTAAAAGCTATTGAAATGTCAATACAACAAATAGTTGACCACTTGCCTATTAAGTTTAAGGAATCGTTTAAGGATAAAGAAGCCGATGAAGCATGAGTCTATGCCATGAGCCTGGAAGAGGTTTTATGTACCTAAGAGAACATGGCATTTGCAAGGCAAAGGAATATAGGTTTGCAAGAGCCAGGAACAATAAAGATTTATTGAAAAGAAAATGGCAGAAGTTAGTCATTGTGATATTTGAGATTAATTTAAAGGAATTAATAGTACTACTCATACCAACAAGGTGCATCTCCTTTTAAGGGATCTCATCTACAAAGAACTGCAAAGTTAAGTGTGCTTGCAAGAGAGTAGTTTTGGGATGAGTGACCCCATAGAAAGTTTTCCAGGGCGCACACGAGTGAGGACAAAGTGTTTTACACTTGGACACATTCATCAGTGAGAAGGGTCTCCACATACTTGCTCGAAGACATCTCCTCCCGAACATGAAAGGTCAGACACTTGATCCTTTTGCTCACTATTTAAGTGGAAAACAATGCATGGTTGCTTTCCAAAGATCTTTCCCGCCACAAGCAGAAAGAACATCGCCGACTTTGTACACATCACTGTGTGATAATGTCTAAGAGATCTATTGGTGATGCATTGTATTTCGTGATCTTCATTGATCATCATTCAAGGAAGGTATAGTTGTACCTATTAAAATCCAAGGATCATGTGCTTGATGCCTTCAAGGACTTTCACGCTCTAGTAGAATGTGAGACCGGACAAGACATCTATCATGTCAGACTAGACCAGTTTAGACCAAATATAAATAGATCATAAAGTTTCAATCCAATTTAAAACATCACAGATTTGTAAAGTGAATAAAATAAGAATGAATTGCAACCACTCAAATATTAGCAAACATGATATGAGATTAACTTAGTGGAACATCCATGGAAAAGAGTTCAAAACAAGATTTCTTTTTATTTATTGATAATTTTTTCTTTTATTACACATGTGATTCATCTTAAATTCTTTCTCCAAATGTAAGCAAGCTAAACCAAATGAGGACGTTTATTGAAATAAAACTTATAAATGAAATTGTAAATAAATATATTATAAGTATATATCATTACAGCGAACACATTATAAATTAAATACGAAAGTATAATTATGATGACCAGTAAACTTATTACATAGTATTACAATTGCAAAGTATAAAAAGTCGTGTTTTTGTATAATGCATCATTTAAATCATACGTTCATCCTTGTTTCATTAATTTACGTTGTAAGTAGATATTCATGTAGCACACATACAGGAACGCAAATACGAGTGCAGGATACAACAAAAAAATTTCCAATAGTTGAATTGATTTTAATTTCAAGCCAAACTAGATCAAATCAAATCAAATCAAATTTGATTCATTAGACTTAAACACATCAGATCAAATTTAATCGATAGTAAAATACACGTAGAAGACATATGCCGAACAAAACAACAAAATTTCAATCTAATAAAAAAGATCTTTTTTTTTTTGACATTTTCAACCGTTTCAATAGAATTTTATCGATTTTAACAGACTCAATCTCATAATAAACTAATTGGGATCTCATTTTCTATTAATTATGAGATACCTTCTTATAGTTTAATACGTCCCTTATTGTACTCTTCTGACTGACACAACCCTGATTTTGCAACTTAAATTTCTACAATTGACTATGCTTGCTCAAACAAGAAGAGAATGTAGCAAGTAAAATCGATTCCAGATCACCAAAATAGAAATTAGAGAGGTTGTATTTTTTATTTAGAAGGTAAACGAGAGTCACCAAACGACATTTTATTACGATGTTTGACTAATTAAGTAAACTCTTTTCGATTTACCATAATCAAATATGTATTTCTCTTTAATAATTAAATTCACATATTCATAAATCCGAAAATGATTAATTATGTGTAGTATAAAATTAAATTAATATTTAATTAACTAATTAAGTAATCATATGAATAGTGTATGAGATGGCAATTGGTTTTCATGAAATGTGCAATTTGGTCAAACTCTTTTCATGACAATTGTTTTGGCTATCCGAATGTCAAACAGAAATACAGAATTGCGCACTTCATCAAATCAAAGGGATATTTGGCAATTGGGTCTGATGTATGATGTATCATGATGTTTTTATTTGAATTGAAATTTGTTGCTCTGGTCCGGATTTCTCTGTGTATTTTATAACTATCTAAATCTGGTCTGGGAATGAAACCCGTCCAAGTAAAAACATCCTTAGTTTGCAATGCAATACGCCAATCCGACAATGAAAGCTCCTGCGGCAAATATTCTTTTCTTCTCTTCATTACTTCTCTCAATGCTATTATTCTTTTCCCGCCCAGTTCAAGAAAACCAAAAAGAACAACAAAGCTTTCAAGTCCTTCAGAAATTAAATAGGTTCTTTAATTTGAGGCCAGGGCACGATAAATCCATTCAGCACTGCTACACAATGGATACCTCAGGTCATATAAATTCACATCATAGTATCATACTATTAGGATCCCTTCAAGAACTTCATAGCAGTTAACAATGGCGCTTTCAGGACATGCTATGATACTGCATCCCCTACAGTCAAAATCAATGACTCACCGTCACCGTCTCCCACTATTCCCAGTACTGGAAATGTGCAGGACGGAGATGAAAGGACATCTTCCACAAGCATTCACGGGAAAAGGGATCAAGAAGAACAAACCTTTGCACTTAGTGGTTAGTAGGGCCGCCATTGGCAGCAGCGGAGGTTCAGATTCTTCATTGCAGATAATCAAGGAGTTGTATTCCAGCATCAATAAAAAGGACTTGAAGAGCCTTGGAGCGCTTTTATCTCAAGATTGTTTCGTCGATGACTTCTCCTTCCCTCAGCCATTCGAAGGGAAGAAGGAAGCTTTATGCTTTTTTGAAGAGTTGATCACATCCATGGGTCAGAACACAGAATTCGTTATAGAGCATATTTGTGGAGGTGTTGACCAAACAGCTGTGGTCAACTGGCATTTAGGTAACTTCACAACATTCACACATTATGTACCCGTGTGGTACTACATTTTTAACTACTTATTTGACTGGATTAGCCTAATAATAAGAAATAGCAAATGTAAATGGCTGAAATGAAAATAAACGGCACCATTATCTTAATCTTTTACTCGTAAATACAAGTATTATTCATTCAATTTTTTTTAAAGGAAAAAGGGTCAGATAGGCCCTCGAACTTACATAAAAAGGTCAAATAAGCCCTTATATAGGAGGCTCTGTCCGGCCGTCACCATTTGGGGCGGTTCCCGGTGGAATTTTTTGATGAAAATTTTTGAGCATCTTATTGATTAAGTCTAGTTTACTCATACCAAATTTCAGCTAAAGCTTCAATCGGGAAGGCATTCAAATGAATTCTTGAAGATAACTGCGCAGTTAAAAGCGTCATTATCGTAAAGAATTCATTTGAATGTCTTCCGTATTGAATTGTTAGCTGAAATTTGGTATGAGTAAACTAGACTTAATGAATAAGATGATCAAAAAAGTTCATCAAAAAATTTCACCGGGAACTGCCCCAAATGGCGACGGCCGGACAGAGCCTCCTATATAAGGGCTTATTTGACCTTTTTATGGAAGTTCGAGGGCCTATTTGACCCTTTTCCCTTTTTTAAATCATTTGTAAAAAATAAAACCAAATTAGCTAATTCTGGCACTTCAGCTACAATATTAACAAATTCAGCACACTTACTCTTCTTGATCAAATCTACCACTACCAGATGGGCTTCTCATTGATAAAATCAACCCTCCTCATTTCTTCAATGAGAAGATCACTAATGTCTAGATTGGTTTGAAATGTTCAATACTATAAATGTAATTGCAGAATGGAAGAAGAAGCAGGTTCCCTTTACTAGAGGATGCAGCTGCTATGAATTATCAAAAGAAGGAGAACAACTAGTCATCAAGTACAAGTTCACACATCTTATCAAATTCTGAATTTTTTCACTCAACTTCAACTAATATACCAACTGACACAATTCTTTTGGCTATTAAACACAGGAAAGCCCAAGTTATCATTGAATCGCCAGTTAAACCAGGAGGCCTAGCATTGGTATATTAGTTGATATTCTAAAAAAACTGTTCATTAATTGATGGCAGATTAGATTCTCATATACATTCTTTGACAAAACAGACCGTGTTCAAAGGCATAAATTTGATTTTTGATGCATTTCCTGGGGCTACAGAGAGTAAGTTAATTATCTTCATTTTTTGTTAAATTTTGGGGTTCCAACTAAAAAAGGTTAATCTATATGAGGAATAGACATTTTATAATAGTACAATATCGTCATTTTGAGGATTGAAAATTATATTAACAGACATCATAAATTTTCATGCTGCAGGGTTCCTAAATAGCCCTTACGCAATCTTCCAAATCTTGTTAAACATATACAAGATAGTTTTAGGACCTATGATACGCCCAGTTGTATCATGGTACCTCAGACTCATGAGGCTTACAGCTGCTTTTCTGAGCCTCACATTCAAAGTTGTGCAATTAGCGGTAAAGAATTTCAACAAGTAGTAGAAGAAACCACAAAAGTTTTCACCAACTCTTACAATACTCATCATATACAACAGTCTATTTTAGATTATTAATGTAAAGCAAGACTCAACCGAAAACTACTCAAGATGCCTAAAATATAAGGTCACCTGCTGACCTGCCATGATCATCAGTCCTCATTTCCATCCCTTTTAAAACATGATGGCAACAGTGAAAGAGCAACCAGAGGTCCGATAAATGGTGGAATCGGTGGTGGCCTGCTAAAAGCAATTATGGGTTCATGATTTTCCTTCCCAATTTGCCCTTCTCCTGCTCCTCCATCATTATTTCCTTGTTTCCTCGGTGTGATAGTTCCAACTGCACAAAATATTACAATGCATTCAAATGAAACCTGTTCTTTATTTCAACTAAGGCGTAGTCTGGTATTAACCTCACAGGGAGTAACATGTGCTGTAATTAAATACTTCTTCAGTTCAAAAAAGAGTCGTGTGTCACGGTTTCAAGTTTCAACAAGGTAACACCTTTTTATTTTGAAAGGGTAGAAATCTGGTAAATTTCATGCTTATGTAATTTTTATTGTGAAAATAAACTAAATTTAACATGCTAAACTAGCTGGATTTTGGAACACACCATTTCATGGGGGGAAATCACATAAAATTCATGGAAGAAAGTTTCAATGGTTTAAATAAGAATATTTTTTTGGGAATTTGAAACACGAATCTTTTCCTTTCAGGATGGGAAGTCATTTTTGTGTAACTTTATATTATGTGTGGATCTAATTACAATATATTCCATTATCTACTATGTGAGTCTATACTACAAATTTAAAAACTTGAAAGAACCAGGAACAGAAGCATACCCCATCTTCCTTTCAATTGATGAGTGGGTTTTAATTTCTCCACAGAAAACCACAATCGAGCAGCTTCACGCATGCCTAAAACACTGTAAACTATAAATGGTTTCAACAAACCACAGAGTTAGCCAACTATATCATATATTTGAGAAATCCAATGCGATATTCAAACACTCAATAAATTTTACATGATCAGGCATTTTATCTCCCAACTCAATGAATGAAAATGCCTCGTATCTCTTGGGATCACTTCATGTGGCATATTCCCATGGGGAAACAAGAAATTCAGACAAAAATGAGAGAAGAATTTGAAAAAAGAACGCACCTGGCGATAGTTATTCTAGATGTTCCTCGCTTCCGTGAGCAATAACAGTGATCATCGATAAAAAAGGAATGCAGGAAAAACGACCACGCCAGTGACCAGAATGTTCCTGAAAATTTAGGCTTATGGATCAGTGGATCATGCAATGCTCTAAATAAAAACATGGGTTTATAAAGCCCATGTGATTTGAGTATTGGGCCTGTTGAGTATTCATATCTATAACTAAAATACTACGTAAAACACTAAAACTTATAATAATAATATGATTAAAGGTATTAATTTATTTTTTATCTTTTATCTTTATTTTGTTCGTTATAAGCCATTATTTCTACAAAATATATTACAGTAAATAATACGTAGGATGTTTTCTTTTGGACTGAAAATTGCTGATCTGATCTGATCTGGTCCAATCTGATATGATCTGAACTGGTTTGGTCTGGTAAATGTCTGGTTTCTGTGTATTTTATAACTATGAAAATCCGGTCTAGTCTGGTCTGTGACTGAAAACAGTCCAAAAGAAAACATTCATAATATATATTTGTAAACAAATGTAAAAAAATATTTAAAGATAAACATTATATATAATACTAGTATATATAAATAGAAAAAAACACTTTAAAATCATAAAACAACACTTTAAGATCATAAAATTATTTCAATCTATCTCCAAATTATCATGGAACTAAACTTAGAGAAAATAACGTATATAGGAGTACATAAAATTCATCCAAAGTGCACAAAGGAGTAAAATAACGTAACGTAGAAAATTCTGAAGTACTACGTAACAATTAATATAGATAACACGTTTTTTGTAAAGAGAAAAATATGCATATGCATACTATCAATAAGTAAGAGTAACATGCTCCTATAATTCAAGAGTAAACATTTGCGTACTCGTACTTATGTATTTGAATATTTTTTGATTCTATATGACTATATGAGGCAGTTTCTTATAAATGTAATGTACATATTTTATTGTTATCATTATCTCTGGCAATATAAATCATTTATAAATATATCAAATTGTTGTAACAATTGGATAGGCAATCCATCTCGTACCGTCTTTTACCAAGAGGCAAGAGAGAACGCCGCTTGACCATCACAACATCCTAAAAATTTCGATACAACGCAACATTAACCGATCAAATCGCGAGACTAAACTAAAACTCGCTTGAACAATGCATCATTGTTCTAAAGTGAAGTCCATCATCCGAAGAGTATGACTTCAAATTTCATAAAAAGAATATGTTCAAAAAATTATCAAAAAATTCAACCGGAAGCACCTTAAATGGAGGTGGCCGAACGGCATTCCGGTCAGGAATTCATGACCGGAAGATTACTCTTGTTACACAAAACTTTTGAATTTGTAGTTGATGTATTAATAATATTAAGGATGTTTTTAATTGGGTTCAAATTTTCTGATCTAGTCTGCATGATTTGGTCTGGTCTAATCCAATCTAGTTACTTTAAGTTCGGTATGATATGGATCTGAACTGATTTGATTTAATCTAGTTTGATCTTGTGGATGTCTATATTATGTGTATTTTAATACCCCGTCTTATTCAAGCTTGATTTAGTATGGTTTGATCTAATTTCATATTACGTGTGATCTTATTTATTTGAGTGTGATGTAATTTACGTGAATTAAAAACATCTCCTAATATTTAAGTTAGAACATCTCTAATATTATAACGTGCACAAAAAATACATTCATGACATTTATCTCTCATTCTTTCCACAATCTCATGATTTTTAGGTAAGTTTTTCTCAACAACGTTAACCATAACATCTACATGTAGACGTGCAGAAAAACTTATCAAAAACATATATAGCTGTTCAGGTAAGAAAAAAGATATCTCTAATTTATTAATTTTATGTGTTCATCTCTATCCAACCTCGAAATTGGCGGTAGCTTAGGAACACATGACTGTGAGTAAGAATTTGGAACTATCCCAGCAAAACATGCGCAGTACCCACAATTCAAAGCAAACAACTACAATCAAGCACCCGTGAGTCCTTGAATTGATCATTCCATCTAAATGCCGGCCATGCCTTGCCGCCGGAGTTTCATCATAATCTAAATCCGTGACGAATCAACATGCCACATGACTAAATTTCCTATATCATGATGGTCGATACAAACGTACATTCAAAAATTAAACCTCTTATTATATGTATATATAAAACACTTACTAATAAACGTGTTGTATAAAGGGAAATTACCAAATAAGAGTAAAAAAGTTTGTAAATTTGATAAAGGATTGCCATGGTTTTCTTACTCAAATAAGAGTAATTTATAATGCTAAGTTTAGAAAATATTGTCATGTTTGAAGTCTGATACTGCCACAACATGACAATATTTAGTCATAGTTTAGAAATAAGAACATGAGAAATATATTTTCAAATATACAAACATTTTTAGTTCTAATTAGAGGAATTTTCCTTTATATAACCCACATAAGTGCATAAGTAGAATCGAAAAGGATTCATTTTCAGTGGAGTCTTAAAGCAACAAATTTTGTTCATTGAAGTGGTGTAGTTAATACTGATTCATTTTTCTAGATAAATTTTAACTTCACAAATTCTATAAATTTTATTTTTATAGTCATAGTCCTCACTCCTCATAGTAAATCAGAAAATACTCCAGGATTGGTGGGTGTAGTCCAATGGATGACCATCCACCCCCAAGTATCACCTTTGTGAGAGGTCTTGAGTTCAACTCCCATCAAAGGAAAATGAAGAGTGTCTTGTTCCCAATAATTCTTCCTACCTTCACGGAGTTGCTCAGCAGTTGAGAAGAGAGATGATGATGATGAAGGCATTGAGAGTTCATGTGGTGGGAGGAGCAGTCTGGAAGGAGCGGACGATGTAAGTCATGCTGAATTCGTCTTTTGGAGTCACTACCAATGAGATTGACTGTGATTATATCCGGATTTAAGTGTCTAGGGGCTTTGGAGGGTAGTTCATAGACTCCAGGATTATGGGAGCGTAAGCCCTGACACCGACCTAGATTATACAAAAAAAAGGAAAACATAGAAAATACTCAGTATAGTGTAAGTACTTCCACATGTGAATATGCATGATGCATTAAGAAATTATAGAATATGTTGAACACTCAAGAAATGAAAGACCCACTAATTAATTATACTTTTGGCTTTACGTTACGTGACTAATTACATTTCGTCATTGGGAACTAAGAATTGTAAGGTTCTCACGAATTGTGATGATCCAATTTTACGCAACAAGAAATCCAAACATGGCCGTTCATACTGCTTGCTTGCAATCTTGCACTCAAACTCAAGCATTACTATTACTATTTGTGCATTATTACTCTGCGTGGTCTACTTATATTAATCAAAGGCGCACTTGATGTAATTTAACACCGCGTTTGGTTCACGTTTGTGGGTGGTTTTCAATTGATGAGAGTTAATTAAATAATTCCGTAATTATACTTTGATTTTACACCATGTTTAGTGTTTAATAATAAAACTTAATCATTGTTTTTAATTTCATGTTTCGTGGTGTATAATTCTAATGTTATGTGTTGTCGATTTTTATTGGGACAATGTTGTTTTTGTGGGACTTGCGGCCATTGTACGACTTATTAAAACATAGTCGATAGCCCGGCCACTCCCATAATTAGATATCCAGGCCATTGTTCTTTACACAGTAATTATTGTCTTGAAATTCATTTTAAGTTTTAAGCTGATAAAGGGTTTTTTCTCAAAAAAAAAAGCTGATAAAGGGTTTACATATTTCTTTACTTACAAAGTAATGTAATATGGAGTAATATTTAGAGATGAACTAAAAATGGGAATCAAAATCGGGGGTAGCCTATATATAGGAGACTAGGAGAGTAGTTCTTTTTTTCTTGAAACACTTAATTGAGAGAAAGAGAATGATTCAGAGTTTTGACAATAATAACACTATCTAGAAGAAAAATTATTGATAAGTATTATTCTTGTCATTTTTTCAGTGGTTTTTAGCTCTTAATTAATAAGTCATTGATCAAATTAATAGGATGTCCTTCTGTCCACAAAATATATTAATCCTTTTTGACAAAATAGGAGAATTATATATTTTTAGATAATGCAAGGCCATAATGCTACATGATTTTCTTATACCGGAGTATTTCGTTCATCATAAATGAAATTATTAACTACAACGTATATATTAATGCAGA